GGTTTCTTGCGCAAACGGTGGTTTCTAGCAGGGTATGAAAGACAGGCCAATTATGCTTGTAGTTATTTGCTTTAACTACTGACAGCATCGAGATACGAAAGGAAGAGTTGGATATAGTTCTGTTTGGTTGATTTCATTACATTACTAATAATCCATATATCTCATGTTTACTTCTATGCCTTGCTCGTAAATGTTCTACCAAAGAACGCCGCTTATGGAACGGATAATCATAAGAAAAATCAATAATTAATATAATTAACATGTCACTATTGAACGAGACCAATAATTAAACCTTCAGAGAGAAAGTGCGTTAATTCGTATGACTCTTTTTGCGGAAGCTCTAACGTGTTTCTCAATAGAAAAAAGTTTATAGTATTTCACTTATACAGAGATAAACAAATATATATGTATGTATATAAAGTAAATCGTGGGGTGTAATAGCATTACCCAACAACATATTTGTCAATAAAACTTATCACCTGTTTTATCAGGTGGCGATAATCGAAGATGTGGTCAAATATGATCATTCTCCTGCTGATGCTGCTTGCTTCGGGCATGACAGGTAACGACCACTTTCCCCGTTGATTCTTTCGCTATGAATATCAACACCCGTGGCTATGTCATTAATATTGCCGTGCATCAGTCATCTAGTTACAGATGGTATGGTTACGTATATACAAACTAACATAAAAAGAAGTTTAGAGATTCGAACAAATCTTTTAATTCTGTTTATGTTTACAATTTGTGATATATATTTTTCTGCGTGAAGGAGGCAAAAATTATGCAAGATGATAATGCTTTTTTTTCTTTTTTACAGAAGCAACTACAGTTTTCCGAAATGAGTTTGAAAAAATAATGTCTATTTAGTCTATGCAGTTTCAATATGTTATATTAGCTATGTTGTCCTTTTTTTTGTTTCTTATATGTGATATATTAATGATCTTGTTAATGGTTTTTTTCTGGCAGCAACAGCAGCAGTAACAGCACCAGAAGGTGAAACAACAACAGCAGCAGTAACTTCATCATGTGAGTTTTCGAATAATTGTCTTTTTTCTTGATATATAATATATACATGAAGTTATGGTGGTAATCAGACATGTATACATGCAAGTATATATATATATATATATATATATATATATATATATATATATATATATATATATAAATATATATCTTTACATATATATATATATATATATATATATCTTTACATATATATATATATATATATATATATATATATATATCTTTACATATATATATATATATATATATATATATATATATATATATATATACATATCTTTACACATCACGCATATCACATACACACATACATTATATATATACATATATATGCAGGGCCGGATTATCCTATAGGCTAGTATAGGCTGCAGCCTAGGGCCCCTCAAGCTTGGGGGCCCCAAGCTTGAGGGGCCCTGCTAAAAGATTTTCAAATATATATATTTTTAAATATATATATATGTATATATGTATAAATATATACATACATATACATAACTATATATATTCACATATATATAACTATATATATATACATAATATATAAACATATAAATACATACATATACACACGCACACACACACACATATATATGTGTGTGTGTGTGTATGTACATATTTGTGTTTTCTAATGTAGATTTATTGGATATTCATGTAGCTTTTTTTCTTACTAAAACTCAATGTTTACAAGGCTATCTAAAGAACGAAGAAAATAAATTAAGAAAATGGTAAAAAAAATACAAAGTTTTAAACAAAATAAATGTTTCCTTTGTATTACCTACTGAGGGAATCTGTTAGAGATTACGCAAATAAGTAAATAGTAATTCCAACTTTTCCTGAAAGATATGTTCATGTATATTTGTAAAGACGCATTTTTGATGGTAAGATACTTCAAGATTTCTCGAAAAATCCTGAAGTTTGCTTTTAATGGAGCACCTTGATCAGATGTCTTGGTTTAGTTTCATATGACCAAACTAAACATTCTTAAACCGTCTCCAGGGGAAACTTGCTACAGTTTCATGACGTCACAATAGTAAACAAACCGCGAATATGGCCGAGAGAAATGAGGCCTTTCATTGGAATTCTGCTGTTAATTTGCTTATTTTATGGCCATTTGATGATATTATGATCTAATAAGTTGCGATCACATATAATATCAATAGCTGTATTATTCTCTAGAACAGCGTTTCCCATTTTCCTGTCGCTACCCACTTTTCATACATGGCCTTGTCCACGGCCCTGATTATAGCGACTGTCCTGTACTCAATAGGCTCATATAAAAACCACTCTAACAAATCCTGTAATTTTATTTGATTCTATTTGTTATGTAGTAAGTATTAAGTAATAATAAAGATTTTTTTTTGGTTTACCTTTGCTGAATCTCATAGTTAAAGAAGTACCATATTTCACATGAAAATGGCCATTCTCAGAGTAATTTGGAAATGACATTAATGCGAAAAGCTGTTTCAACAATAAACAAACAAAAAACAAAATAAAACCTAGCTTAGGAGACCTTAGAATTATGTTAAGATTTAATTATCTAGTACCCTAATACGTCCCAATGTCTGGTTTTATGTCATTTATACTGATTTATCCTCTATTCCTCACTATTATCGTTTGTAAAGGTAATGCTTTTATGGCAACAAACAGCCTACCATAACCCACTCCCTACCCATAGCTGAACTCCCTCCACCTTGAACAGATAGTTTATTTGTCAGCCAGAAGCGATCCAGAACATGTATACAACAGTCGAGGCAATAATTGCATTTTGTATGTTCAGAACTGTACCTTATTATTGTTAAACCTTGTAATCCAATTTTGTTTTATTTATATCTAATGAAGTATTTTGTTCAGTGATTTAATTAAGGACTGTGGAAGATTAGCGTGCCTGTAATACACAGAAGGCATTGCATCATGAACCTAATAAGAAATTTTAATACTTTAACTAGTAAATGTTGTTCCACATGAAGACTATTCTTTTTTTCATTATTTTATGCATTCATTATTTATATTCCAAGAATTATTCAAATGTATTTTTTTTTCAAATATAATTCGTGAATATGTTCGCAATAAGAAATAATTTTTAAAAAGTTTTTGATTTTAAAATGAGAGCGCTGCTTATCTGTTACTTCTATCAGCAATGATAATCAAAACACTTGTGGTATTATTATATATATTTCAAAGTGCTATTTTCCCGTTTACAAATATGCTCTTCCCTTCAGACTGTACATTCAATGGGAAGACTTATTCGACGGGAGAATTGCTCGTAGACAGTTGCTTGAACCTAGAATGTGTGGGAGACACCTGGTACCCGACAGGCTATTCAAGGAGCACGTGTAAGCTACTTGACTTCTTTTTAAGCAAACGTTTATATGTTATTAAAGCATGCAATTTTACTAGAAATAGTGCATTCACAGGTACTTTTGCGTCCTGTTCAGTTATCCATGCATAGTTAAAATAATTCAATAAGATATGAATTCCTTTTTTATTAACTACTTCGATGAACATAGAATTCATATGTTCAATCTTCCCCTTACAGGTTCAATGTGTTCGCTCAGAAATGACCCACATATCACGGGATTCTCTGGCTTTTACTACGACTTCCACGGCATCTTAGAATACTACATCGCTATGAATATAGACACATACGGAGTGACTGGCGACTTTTATCCGTGCAATACTTTTGCTTCTTGTCTGGACATCATTACGTACAAAGACGATGCGGATACAGTCATTACATTCGACAAAGATGGTGGGGATACGGTAAGGAAAGAGTTAAAGAGAAAAGGGTGAAATGAGAGGGAGCGTAACAAAAGGGTTGTGGAAAGATCACAAGAGAAAAGCCAGGAAGCCGAGAAAGAGTGGAGAAAGAGAAAATGTAGAGAAAATCATAGAACGTGGGAAATTTTGAAAAATAAACATGAAAATGTTAGCGCTACATACTGGCATATATACAGCGGGAGTAAGGACTTATTGTATAATTATAAACTGGATTGTTTACCTTTCTTACCCTATGAATAGTAACTGTCTTTCCACTAGATCCTCGTCAATGGTGACCCTTTCACTGTCACCAATGTTGTCCAAAATGTGCAATCCGCCGGCGGTGTCGTTCATCCAGTCCTTGCATGGAAACAGGGTCACTGCATTCGCATTGTAGGAACTCGAGGTATTGCGGTACGTAGCTTATGCACCTATTTTGCATAGTGCACAGAACATTCATGATAAGTATTAGGGAATATGAGTCTATACACATCAATGTATGTTTATAATATATAAGTATGTCCATTTTGGTCTTCTAAAGATCACTGAGAAAATAATGTCTCATTCAGGGTTGTAATTTCAAATCAACATGTAGGGCCAGTCTAAAGAGAGGCCAGATAAAACGAAATATATTGCTTCTCTTACAATTTACCTGAACTGTCCATCGAACTGTCATTATTGTATTCCTATTTCATTCAAGTAACGTGTCCTAAAAGTGTGCAGGTGTCGAATATTAACTACTGTTCTAAATTAAATTAAATTTTGCCCCATTCCTAAAACCTATTTATGCATAATTCTTAGAAACAAGGGATTCTGTGTCCTTTTGAGTTCAGAATTTTTCCTCAGGTGAGTTTCTGCATCCATGACATGTACGTGTGGGCTGAAAACGCCATCCTCGGAGACCTGAATGGCTTGTGCTTCGGCGGCCGTGCATTCGGCGCTGCCAAGACCAAACACTTCCAAAGACTAGCTGTCTCACAGGAGGAAATCAACAAGTGGGGCGAATCGCTACTAGTTCCGGTAAGGAGATTAGAGATACGCTTGTTAATTCTAATAGGGCTGATAAGTAGGCGACAGGTTATGAAAATAATATCGATATTTCTAGTAAACATCAGATAAATTGTTAACAGATCCTGTTATCAACTGAAGTGCTAATAAAATAACTGGCATCGCGCAAACATAACGAGATAAGATTTGAAAAGCTGATCTACCATGTATTTCTTGCAAACGGAAATCAAAGCCGAGAGAAAGTCATTTTACGCCAAGGCCAACGCCTAATTCTGTCGATCGTTCATGTTTTTCAACCTTTTCTTTATATTGCAAAGAAGTCACGGACGTCTCCTTTTTCACAGGGCAGCAATACCCGACCGTTTGAATCCTCCACTACCGTTGCTTATGGGGTAAGTTGTAGGTAACAGACGGCTTCATTTGTGGTTATTGGAATGATCCAGTCGTTTGAGATTCGAACATGCAGTTCACTCGCGCTGGATACGATAACATGTAAAACTTCAAGCATACTTCCACTTTCCACATAAAAAACAACGGATGTAATCAGAATAAGAGTTTTTTGTGTTTGGATCTGAGAAATATTTGAAAGGTTTGTGTGTAAAAGCAATGTAAGTTAGAGAGAGGACGGGCAATATTTAAAATTTTGTATTAAGCTTCCCTGTGTTGCTAGTAATTGTAAAACATATGAGCTTTTTAATTACTTGAATGTTTTTTCTATTGGCTTTATTATGTGAAATTCAGAAAAAATAACTTCTTTTTTTCATAACTTTACTTGTCAATACAAAATTGAAGGATACCGTGTTTTGTAGCGACCACGAGGCAACATCAGACAATCTATCAGTGTTTGAGGTTTCAGGATGGTACAAAAAAGGCCTTAAATTTATCATTACTGTTATAAGGTCAACACAGATATCTGTAATGATTATTATTAAGGCTATGATTAACAAGCGAAAGGAAAGACTTGCCTCATTAGTACATTTGCACTATCTTTTAAGGTACTCACCAATGAAGTGGATGCCATTTGTGATAACGAGATCGAACAGTGCCAGGCCCTATTTAACACTGTGTTTTACACGAAAGACTTGTTTAACGCTGTTGTAGGTGAGTATCATTATTGCCCTGACCTTGAATCAGAGGATTCAGAAAAGAGTTGTTGAAACAAGTTGTGATAATAGGAATATGATGACAAAAAAGTGTAACATGCTAGACGGTAATGAGCTAATAGCGGCCCACGTTCGTCAGATTTCTGCGTGGTCGACGTATGCCTCATGACGCTGAGCAACGCCACCCAGGACGAGATTGATGACTGGAAGAGGAAAATGTCCGACATGCTGAAGAACACCGTGGACGTCATCGAATACACCCTCCGTACGCTCTCATTTTCGTTTGTTGCTTATTTCATTCTCGTGTATTTAGCATCTCCTTTGCGGTTAAACATGGGAAACTTAAAGCAAATGTTTCTGTATCTAACTATTTATCAAGTAAGGGATTTTGTCCTTGTGTCTGTACTAATGTAGTGCCATGGTGTTGCTCGTTAAGTATTTTCATTTATCTATTAATTTATTATTATTCGTAGTGTTCAAGATGTATCTAAATGTGATATATACTTAGTCTGATATATATCTAGCACTGTATACGTATTATATGCGATTGTTTAATTGATTTAACCATAACTGAAGATGTAAAAAAAGTGAGCGTGCGATTCAGTAATATCGTGTTTATGCTGTTGTTCTCACTGTTTGATCCTTTTTCACATACATGTTTTTTATATCGATGGACTTTTTTCTTCTGACAACAATTGAAACTACAACAAGTGAGGATTGGGAGATCTCTCACATTATGTTGTTTTTTCTTTATGTGACATATTTGTGAAAAAAAAAACTTTCCATATGTGCAGTGTCTATTAATGAGGACAGTACATATAAGTTTTTGTCAGTAATTTAGCATGTCCTGATTGGTAGTATTGTAATCATTATTGGAATCAGTTAAGCTTCTTAAATTAGTGATTCCACATGAATGATAACCTTATGATAACATTTATATGTTGTTTATATGTTGATTTATATGTTCTTTATATTTTTCAGCAGCAACTACAGTTCACACAAGTGAGTGGTGAGATTTTGGAAAATCGTTATCATGTTGGTCTCAATAAATGAACCAACTATTAAGTTTTATATTTGTTCGCGTCTTGTATGTTATGCATATAAATGTCATAAGATGGTATTGATATTAGCTCTTTACTTTATCCTCTTTTCATTTGTTAATTTTTATTCCCACTGTTTGATGCATTTAGTTTTAGTTTTTTTTTTCACGTGTCATGCACATAGATGTTATTATACTAATGACCTTTTTTTCTTCTGACAGCAACTGAAGCTCCAACAAGTGAGTTTGTGAGGATTGGGAAGATCTCTCACATTGTTTTTTTCATGTGATATATTTGTGAAACGCTATTTCTCATATGTGTAGTGCCAATTAATGACAGCAATAACAACGGAATGATTGACTGATTTAACCAGCAACTGAGAGAAAGAGAAAGAGAAAGAGAGGGAGGTAGGATGAGAGAAGAGAGAGAGAGAGAGAGGGAGAGAGGAAGGACGAGACAGATATAGATAGATAGAGAGAGAGAACGAGAGAAGGGGCGTCATGGGGGTGGACGAGACAGACAGATAGAGAGGTAGGGGCGACATGGAGGGGGGGGGGGCTCTGATCGTAGCTTTAAAATGCTCCTGGAGCTGAAATGACTCCCCTGAGAGAGAGGAAGAGAGAGAGAGAGAGAGAGATGGAAAAGGGAGAGCTGGGTGAGTGGGAGGGAAAGCGAGAGAGAGAAGAGGGAGAGGTAGGGGTGAGGGGGAGGGAAAGTGAGAGATATAGAGAGAAGATGGTAAGGGAAAGCGAAAGATTTTTCTTTTTTATGTAAAGCACATAGATGTTATATTAATAGACTTTTTTCTTTTGACAGTAACTGCAGCTCCAACAAGTGAGTTTGTGAGGATTGGGAAAGTCTCACATTTTGTTGTTTTATCTTCATGTGACATATTTGTGAAAAGTTTCCTTTTTCCATATGCGCAGTGTCTATTGATGAGAGCAGTATATGTAATATTTTACTTTTTTTGTCAGAAATCCAGTATGTATGATTGGTAGTATTGTAACCATTACTATAATCAGTTAAGCTTTGTAGATTAGTGATTCCATATAAATGATAACCCTTTGATAACATCTATATGTTGTTTATATGTTCATTTATGTGTTCTTTATATTTTCAGCTGCAAGTACAGTTTACCCAAGTGAGTGTGTGAGATTTTGGAAAATCGCTATCATGTTGGTTTCAATAAATGATCCAACTATTAAGTTTTATATTTGCTCGCGTCTTGTGCGTTATACATATAAATGTAATATGGAGATGATATTGATATTATTCTTTATTCCATCCTCTATTCTTGTGTTTATTTTTTCAGCGGCAGGACGAGACTGTGAGTTTAAGAGATCTGGGAAAATCTCTTTTTTGGTATTGGATTTAATGAAATTGTGAAATGAAGTTCTTATGTTGCCGATTATAATAAAAGATCTATTCTTTCAAATTTAACCAAGCAAAATTGCTTCTCCGTTAATCCTTTCACCATGAATATTACCACAAGGGAAGCTATCACCCATCCATAGCATTATTTCCCGTTTGCAAATATGGGTTTTCTTCCAGACTGTACATTCGACGGGAAGATCTACGCAAACGGAGAAACAATTGAAAACAGCTGCTTGTTCCTGGTATGTGCGGGAGATACTTGGCGACCGACAGGGCGTATAAACAACACATGTAAGTTCCCTGACTTCTTAATAGACTAACGCTTGTCTTCCTGCGTGACATGCATATAGAAAATATGTATGTGTTAGGTTGTTATCACAAGCGACCACTTGTATGAAAACACTTCCATAGTGATTATGGGATATGAGTTCTAAACTGAACTCATATCCTATTTTGTTCACTTGAATATGAATACCTGAGTGAAATCAGTGATTGTTTCCTCTTCACGTTACATCGTGGAAGGTCGGTTTCACTTCACTTAAGACTGATAAGTTCACTCTTCCTCTCAACAGGTTCAATGTGCTCAATCAGAAATGACCCTCACTTCATCGATTTCTTTTCTTGGGCCTTCGATTTCCATGGCACAGATAACTACGCAATCGCAAGGAACGTAGATTCCAGTGGAGTGACAGGTGACTTTTATGAGTGCTTTCCCTTCATTTCCTGTCTGGACATCATTACGTACAAAGATGATGCAGCCACAGTCATCACTTTCAACAGAAACGGCGGGAACACGGTAAGGAAATGGAGAAAGGGAAATGTGGCCGATAGAGAGGGGGGGGGGAGGGACAAGAGGGCTATGGAGAAGAAAAAAGGGGGGAGTTTGAGGAATCATACGAAAGAGAATGAGAGAGTAGAGAAAGTTAGCAGATTTTGTTTAAAAAAAAGGGAGGGGGGTAATGGGCAAGACCCCTGCCACTCTTGGTATGCCCAACTGTAACACATGACCCAACAAAGAAAGGTTGCGACTTGGGTTTTACTAGCTCCGTAGACATTACATACCTACTCATAATGCAGTTATTATAGCGAGGGTCTGCACACATTCCCCGTGAGCATTTGGTGGAAGTGACGCGGAATTTCATATTCTATGCTATACGTACTGATGTCTCAGTGAAAGATGGAAAAATGTCAGTTGATTTCTGTCGATAGCTGAAATATTCCACCTTCCACCTGACGTAGTATTCGCATTTCTGAATCAGTTCCACAGAGTATATATATATGTATGTATATATATTGTTGAAGAACACGCGTGTGGAATTCATGTCGAACAAATTGCAAGTAGAACAATGAAGGGAAGTACAGGAAAACACAAGAATATGCCGAAGGCTTCATCAGGGCAGTAAATGCGAAAAGGTCTTCAGCATATTCGTGTATTTTCCTGTTTCCCTTCATTGTTCTATTTGCAATATATGAATATATATATACACAAATATACACACATACATGTATATGTATATACATACATACATATATATGTATACATATACAAACATATACACACATTTACACACACACACACACACACACATATATATATATATACACACACATTTATATATGTGTATATATGTAAACATATACATACATATATGTATAAATGTGTATATATGTGTATGTAAATATATTTAT